GTTATTCCAGAGAAAGAGATGAAGGAGGAATTAATAGAACCTGATATAACAACGCCTGAAAACGTGGCCTTGGAAGATCCCAGTGTGGAGTCACCTCTGAAGGCAGGTGGTGATTCTCTGGTGCTGGTGAACGAGAGCCCCACCAGCATCCAGGCCCGCTGCACGTGGTCTCCCTCAGCTTCCCCTTCCACCAGCATTCTGAAGAGAGGGGCCAAAAGGAGCCACCAGGATGATGATTCCCTGTCACCTGCTCACAAGGTACTGCCCTGGGGGTTGTGGTGCCTCCCTCACAGCTGGGATGGGGTCAGTGGTTGCTCTGAGCTCCAGATACGTTCAAAGGCTTGAGTTTCACTGGGAATAATCTGCTGCTGAGGCTGAGGGTGCCAGCACTGACAGACTTCCATTATGAGGGTGTAGGTGAGTGGAGTTTATTTTTGAAGCAGAGCACCAGGGCCTGACCTGGAGCCCTGCAGGACTCAGGGCCAGCATCCTCATTTACCACTGCCTGGGGAGTTCCCTTGGCAGAGACGAATCCACGGCGTGTCCTTGGAGTGAAACATTTCCTGGGCCAGCCAGGAACTTCCATGACCTCATTTCAAACTGAAAGCTGCTCCCCAGGCCCTGGTGCTTTGAATCCCCCCTCTGAAGCCTCCTTTCCTCCCCCCAGATCCGTCGGGTGTCCTTTGCAGATCCCATTCACCAGGCGGGGCTGGCGGACGACATCGACAGGAGGAGTCCCGTGGTCAGATCCCACTCCTCCCCCTCTTCCAGGAGCCTGAAAATCCTCTCCAATATTCAGACTAAGGTGAGTTCTTCACGTGTATTGTGTGTGGGGCAAGTGTTGATGTTATTTATGATAAGGAGCAGGGCTTTGGTGTGTGTTTGCAGTCACTTGAAAGAGTTGTAAGAGCAGGGGGTGTGAGAAGCTGTAACTGCTTTGGGTCTGACTCGTCCTGTTCCTCTGAGATCTCAGGGGGTAGAGGCTGACAACTGAATTCCTGCTGTTGACTGAATTCCTTCTGACTATTCCTACAATCCTGAGATGTTTTTTTCCTCTTTTTCTATCCAGCACATTACCACTCCAACCAAAGGATTTCTGTCCCCAGGATCCCGTACCCTTAAATTTAAGAGCTCAAAGAAGTGTTTAGTAAGAAGTGCTTTGCTTCATGTTTCTCTTCTTATTTTTTTTTTTGTTTTGTTTTCCCCGTATTCAGTCGTGTGACAGTTAATTTAACACCTTCCCTGGCTTATTCCAGATCACAGAAATGGCCAAGGAGCCTCTGCCGTGCCCTGTGGAACACGTGTACCCAGCCCTGGCTGGCTGCAAAGCTCCTGTTGATGTCATCTTACCCCAGCTCACATCTAACATCTGGTAAACCGGCTTTGCCCCTTTAAAGGGGACATTTCAATATATTGGACCTACAAACCCACAGTTTGTGACAGCTTACTGATGTCTTCAGAATTTTTTTCAGAAGGAGGGAGGTCGGTTTGGTGTGGGAGTGACTTGTCTAGTTTGGAATTCTTCAGGTATTTTTTTTGAAGACTGAAAAGCTCGTGCCCAGGGACAGGGAGCTTTGTGTTTCGTGTGCCAGGGCAGATTGATCTCTGTGATCTGTGACATCAGTCGGAGTTTTCTGTAGTGAAGGCAAAGTGGGACTTGGAAAAATTCTGCATTTCAAATATACAAAGACTGGGCACTTCCTAATTTGGTTTCTGACCTGAATTTCAAGGAAGGGTCAGGACAAACTATAGAGGTGCAGCAGGAACTGCTCAGAGGGGCCTTTTCCTTCCACTCTCACTGCACAGGAGTGGATTTATCCATTCCATTCCCTGCTGGGCACAGGAGAGACTGCCCTTCTGTGTGAGCTTCTGCAGAGGGAGCATCAGCTGCTCTGGTTTTCCCCTTCACTTGTGTGCACGTGAATCATCCTTCCTGCAGGATTTCTGCCAGGCGGAAAGGACCTGAATTCCAGGATGGGCCAGGGCAGGCTCAGGGTGGATCTCAGGGAAAGGTCCTTCCCCCAGAGGGTGGTTGGCACTGAACAGGCTCCCCAGAGCAGTGGGCACAGCCCCAAGGCTGCCAGAGCTGCAGGAGGGTTTGGACAACGCTCTGAGGGACAGGGGGGATTGTTGGGGTGTCTGTGCAGGGCCAGGGCTTGGACTCTGATCCTTGCAGGTCTCTTCCAATCCTGGCTATTCCATGACTCCCTGGTAATGAGGCATTTCCCTCCCCTGCTGCAGTGCCAGAGGTTTGGGGCAGCTCATCCGAGCCAAGAACATCAAGACCGTGGGGGACCTGAGCTGTCTGACAGCCCTGGAGATCAAAACCCTCCCCATCCGCTCTCCCAAAGTCTCCAATCTCAAAAGAGCCCTCAAGGGATACCATGAGCAACAGGTAAAGCTGAATTTTAACACCCAGGAAGCCAGTGTTGGCCTAGTGAACTGATAATTGCCATCATGAAGAATAATGTATTTTTTACCTAATTAGTAAGAGCACTTTGAAACCTGATCCCTGCCTGTCTCAGTAGGGGGGAATTCCAGGTACAGATGGCTTGGTTAAATTGTTAATATTAACAGGAATGGTGATTGTATTTATGATGACATGTGTTTATTATTTATGTATTTATTATTGTGCTTCTCACCACGTAATCCTAATTTTATTTCTGTCATTCTAAAAACGTTTGCCTTGTTCTGCCCCACGAAATGCTCAGGTGAAGTCTCGAGTGCTGGAGGAAATGGTGGTGCTTGAAGATGCTGAAAAGCCTGTAAATGATGTGGAGGACAAACCACTCTGTGCAGATGAAGAAAAGCTTGGAACAGGTACCTCTTGGTGGCTTTTTGCTTCGGATTTAGAGGGTCCTTTTTCTCTCCTGATGGGAACACTTGATGCTTTTATTTTTATTTTGGGTGTGTTAGTAGCAAATGTTACCCCATTAAATGCTGCCTGTAGCAGTGGCTTCTTAAAATTTACATATTTTGAGGGGAAAATGCTGTTTTTTCCCTAAAGAAGCAAAGAACAAATGAGTCAGGGCTGAAGCAGTTGTTGTTCTGAGCCTCAGCCAGGTGTGACTGCTGAGCTGCTCCCTGTTTGGGCCCTGCTGGGGGTGCACAGGACAAACATGATGAGATAATGAAGTGGTGCCTTATCCTGAGGTGGGGACAGGAGTGGGATGATTCCCTGCACACCCAACTGGGATTTGGGGTGTAGATTTTTATTTGGATCCTCCTGGGTCTCCCTGGAGTTCGGCCTGGTGGCTCAAAACCCACGAGGCTGGAAGAACAGAACAGAAAGCCCAACAGAAAGCTCAGGGGTGACTTCAGCTCTCCAGTTAAAATGTGGGAGTTTAAAGTGTGGGATTTGGGACAACGCAGCTCAAAGGGCACTGGCATTGCCTGACTGGGAGCAAATCCTTCCATTTGTGCCCTTGGATCTACAATCCTGATCAGACACAGCACAACTCTCCCTCCACTTCCCTTCCTTGCAGACCTGGCCGAGCCGGCCGTGCCCACGGCGAGCGAGCAGCCCCCGGCAGATCTCCTGAGCCAGATCCAGGCCCTCTCTGCCCAGCTCAGCTCCCAGGATCTCCACAGCTATTCTGGGAGCCAGCTCTTCGAGATGCAGGAGAAACTTGCTGGCATGTCCACCTGCATCCTGAGAAACCTGCAGTCCCGCTGGAAATCACCACCCCCCGACAGCTCCCAGGAGCTGCTTCCCGGGGCTCAGTAAAGGAGGATTTTGTTACAACAGGTTTTTTTTTCCACCCCCCCCACCTTGTTTTTCTTTCTGGTGAATTACTCCTTAAACTGTGCATTTTGAACAGGAGGTATTTTTTAACACTGACATGAATTTGTTGTCATGGGGTTGGTGTTTATTCCCTTCTTCTTTTTTGGTTTTTTGTTGTTGGTGGTTTTTATCCCCCCCTAATTTGTGGGCCTGTTTCCTCCCTGTCAGAGGCATTTGTCTGGTGTTGCTATGCATATTTCTTTCAGGCAGTGGAAGAAAACTTGACAAGAGTTGTGCAATAGCATAGAGACTGTGAAACCAAACCAACAGAGTAGGTAAATTATTTTTGTCAAACCCGAAGTGTTCTTAGCGCTGCGAACTTTTCCTGTGGAGCCAGAGCTGCATCTCCCAGCTCTGCTCCTCTGCTGCCCTGGGGGTTCCTTTGAGCTGCTCACACTCTGCCTGGGAGGTAAGCTGGGTGTAATTCCTTGCAGCAGGAACCTGGGATTTGTACTGGATCTATTTTTCCACGTATTTTTGTAAAGACTCCCACTGAGAAGTGACAAGAGGGGCGTGTGTAGACTCTGCAGAGCCTCCCGGGCTCTGGCCATGTCCTGGGGTGGCAGCAGTTTCTCCTGCTGGAGAGGACTTTTTCCTTGGGGAAAAATGAATGAATTTGGCAAGAAGCTTCTTGTATATTGTGTACAGACTGACAGCAGATGTTTGGTTACTAATTTATGAGGGGGGTTTTAATTGTATGGAATTGCTGCTTCTGGGAGACCTTCAGCGAGAGTTCCCGGCCTTCCCTCGGGAATGCTGATCTGTATATATTGGACTGTGGCTGTCACAGGGGCTGTTCACTGCAAGGAACTGCTGCAGGTGGTTTTAGGACTTACACGTGGGCAAATAAAAGAGAAAATAGTTCCCAAACTTGTTGATGTGCTCGTGGTGTGGTGGTTGTGGGGTTTTGTTCAGCTCCCCCTCGGCATTGCTTTGGATTCCCAAGGCTGGGAGGGAGCTTGGGAGGTGTCCAGGGCTGCTGGAAGGTGGGAGCAGGTCCTGAAGGATGTGGTGGGAGTAGTGTTTGTGTGTCTCATGGAGGAAAGGAACAGGACAAAGGGGTGGCCTGGAGCTGTGATGGGAAGGTGGATGGAGGTTTTTGTGCTTCCCTGGAAATGGTACTTTGGTTCTAAATCTGCCTCCTTAAGTGTGTTCAGCTCTTACATCCAGTGAGATTAATTCCTGCTTTCAGCACAAGGGAACACATCCATCCTACTGCAGAAACATCAGCTTTATTCAGTCACTAATTTACAAGAAACAACAGCTTTTGACCCCAGAACAGTTGCACAAAGAACATATTCGTGAGGCCTCAGCAAGCAGGAGGAGAGGGTTTGTTTTCCCCCTCCCCAGATAAATTTTTGGTTTGAAATACTAAGCTTAGATGTTGCTTTATATGGGAAAGGAAGTGAACAGATTTCAACACATAGCCCAGAAAAAAAATTAGTTTTTGTAGAACGAATAAAGTAACGCTTGGGAGTCTTAGTCTTGATACTGATATCAAATTTTGGAGATCCTGGACTGTGGTTGTAGTGTCATGTTATGGTGTGTTTTTTTTAGCAGTGGAAGAAATGCAAAGTCACTTTTACAGGTGACTTTTCCGAGATGTTTTGAAATAACATTTCAAGAATCCTCTTTGCTCTGCAGTTACTTTTTGTCCCAAGGCCAACCTTGGGCGGTGTCACCCCCCCCTTTTGTGCCCTCAGGGTGGGCAGGGGCAGGGGCTGCTCACACGGCCTCCACGTAGTTTGCCGGGAGCATCCCGGTCTTGCCGGTCCTCTGGACCGTTCCGTACATCCAGCCCTCGTCGATGGCCTGCACGTTGACGATGGTGTCGCCGTCCTTGAAGGAAACCTCGTCGGCGTCAGCTGCTGTGTAATCGTACATGGCCCGGTACGTCTTCTGTGGGGAGAGAGGGGGGAGCCTGAGAGAGCTGGGAATGGGAATGGAGTGGAATTGGGCACCCCCAGGGATGGGGAACCCTGAGAGAGCTGGGATGGAATGGGACACCCCCAGGGACTGGGGAACCCTGATGGCAGAGCAGGGCTGGGAATTCGTGTCAGAGCAGGGAAGGGCAGGTCTGACTCATTGCTGAGGGCACAACCTGCCCCTCTTTAATCTCCTGGTTCAGCTGCTCCTGTGAGTTCTCTCTGAATGAACTCTGAATTCCTCAGGGTTCAGGTTGTAACTCCTGCTGTTAACTTAGTTCTGCTGTTAACTTGGGTTTAGTCTGTTTTAGGCACATTATACAGTGATTTTTATTTCCTTCTGGCTGTACCAGGTGCTTCAGGAGATGAAGCAAACAATGCTGTGGTGAGGTGGGAAATAACCCACCTGATTTACTCCTGAATTAACATAATCTGAACTAATTAACATAATCTGAAGCACTCCAGCCCAGGCCATGGGCCATGGTCCCTGCAGGGCTGTGCACTGTGGGGAGGCACCCAAATCACCCCCTGGGGCCGTGTCCCAATCCCAGTGACTCACCCCGGCAGTGGAGGGGTGGGAGGGGACCGAGGACACCGTGGTTTGCTGCGTGGCCACCGAGGACGAGCGTTGCTGTGGCAGCTCGATGGTTTTCACCTGTTTGTAGCCCACTAGAAGGGAAACAGAGGGGGTGGTGTTAGTGGAGCTGGAGCTGCTGTGGCTGAAGATCCAGGCCAGGTCGCTGATTGCCGGACCAGATTGATGTGTTGGTTGCATCCACCCCTCTCCCTGTGGGTGCTGAGCGTCCCCCTGGCTGCAGGAGCTGCTGCCCGGCTGGGTGGGCAGTTTGGCGTGCCCGGTGCCCCCGTACCTGTGGCAGTGGTGGTGAAGAAGCCCCCGTTGCTGTAGTAGGACAGGCGCTGGTCGGTGCCCTCCGAGGGCTCGGATTTCTCATCTCCGGCCCCGCTGATGCTCAGGGCGCTGGCAGAGCGGGAATGTTCCCGGCTGCGCCGCTGGGCCTGCACTGGGGGGACAGCAGGGACAGGGTCACCAACCCCTGGGGGGGCTCACAGCTCCCTGCTGGGAGCTTCCTGTTCCCAAAGTTTACAGGGAAAAAGCCCCGTGTAAATAATCTCAGTGTTTGATGGGTCCTGAGTGGTGATTTTTAAGTGTTCTGTGGACACCACGCTCAAGTTCTGCTCTTCAGTAGTCACAATAGTTTTATCCTTCCTCCAGCTTCCTTCCTCTTAGCCTTCCACATTCTAATTATCCCACTTTTCCCTTCCTTCTCTGACACAGCTCTGAGCCCTCCCTGGTTTCTGGTTTCTACCCTTCAGGTGCTTTTCCTCTCACTAAGCAGGAAAGGAGTTAAACAAAATAAACGTAACTGAGGGCAGCATTTTTAGTTATTTCAAAAGGAATCACACAAAGTGTGGGTCATATAAACTGTGCTGGGTCATTTTATGACAGAAAAATTCATACTGCATTGTTTGAAAATACGCTGGGGAGGAGCAGCCCCAGGCAGTTTGTCCCCTGTGCCACCCCTGGACTCCCAGCTGTGTTTGGCCCCCAGGACCCCCCGTTTGCAGGAGTCCAACCCCTGTTTGGCCCTGCTGGAAGAGCCCCTGGCACACACCTGAGATCATGTGCAGGCTGCGGGACTGGATGTTGTCCTCGGCGGGGTCGTAGTCGAAGACGGAGCCGGGGTTGGTGCGCCAGACACGGAGACCTGTGGGAACAGCGGGAATGGTGCAGGGCTGGAGCTGCACAGGCTGGCCTGGAGAGCAGGAACAGCAGCTGGGGCTGCCCCTGGATCCCTGGAGGTGCCCAAGGCCAGGCTGGACAGGGCTTGGAGCAACCTGGGCCGGTGGAAGGTGTCCCTGCCCATGGCAGGGGGTGGCACTGGATGGGCTTTAAGGTCCCTCCCAACCCAAACCAGTCTGGAATTCTATGAAAAGCATTTATTTCATCAATTTGTATTTCTCAATTCTATAGCACAGATTAGGCTTTTTTTTTTTAACATTTCATCTACATCAGGGTCTTTAACATGATGAAGTTAAAAATATAAGTAAGAACTATAAGTCCAGTGTTACATTCTAAACTTGGGGAGAGGCAGGGCACAGGTGAGTTAAAGCTGCTGCGCTTTCCAAAGAGATTTTCAAAGAAAAGGACTTCCATAAAATCATCAGCCCCAAATAATGATGAACTAGAACGGATGTGGCTGAGCTTAAATCAAACCACTCGTCCCAGGTCTGCTTGTGTTGTGGAAATGAAGTCCTTATGAAATGAGGTCCTGCTTACCTGGGAGGTACTGGGGTCCTTGTAAAGCCTCACCTGTGAGGTTCTCCTGGTCCTGGTCCACACGTTTCTGCTGCATCTCCACCACCCTCCTCTGGATGCCCCTGTAGCTGATGTCACTGAAGTCCTGCATGTTCTTCTTCACCCTCTCGGTGATGGGGTCGGTGACCACGGGGGTGAAACTCCCTTTGCTCTTCTCGAAGTCCTCGTGGTATTTGACCTGCAGGTTCAAATGCAGTGGCTGTGGCTCTGCAGCTCAGCTGGTGCTCCTGCTTCCCTCAGCTGCAGTTCAGGGAGCAGCCTGAACTTTGGCTTTCCCAATCCAAGGAGCCACGGGAGAGCCCAATCCCTTAAAATGCTTTAGTGTGGAAGAGCTGGGTCAGCAAAGCTGCCTTTGAGCTGCCAGCCAGGCCCGTGTTTGGATGTGACTCCCTCCCCAGGGTGAGGCCCCTCTGGAGCTGCCCTTACTGTGGAGATGTGTTTCTGGCTCTCCCTCACTCTCCTCATCTCCGGCGTGTCCAGGACGTAGGCGGCTTTTCCTTGGACCTGCTTGCGGAAACTGTCCGAGTAAAGAACCTGCCAGGGGACAACAAGGACAGCACCGTGCCAGGATTTACCTCTGGAGCTCCAGGTTAGCAAAGAAGGGCCTGAAGGAGGCCAGGTCCAGATTTTTATATGGTGTTTTATACAGGACATCAGAAATCTCTACTAAAGAACCATCATTTTCTGTGTCCTCAAGAGTAAGAGCAGCAAAACCAGGAGAGGCTTGAAAAGCAACGTGTTATTTGAAATTTAACTGTTTAACAATCCCCCAAACTCCTGTTAATCACGAGGAACGTATTAAAGAATTCCACGTGGTTCCTTCAGCCCTCCAAGCATCAACTCTGAGTGAGGATTTCAGGGATAAAATGTGATTTTTAGTGTCTTTTCCCTCTGGCTGAGCAGGACTCACCGAGCTGATGTTCTCCTGGTTCCGTTTGGCTCTTTCCATCTCCGGAGTCAGAGGGGTTGGAGTTCCCTTTGCCATGTGCTCCTTGTACAAAACCTGCAGAGCACAAACCCGTGGACACAGCTCAGAATTCCAGGCACAATCCCAGCTCTTCCTGGGATGGGAGGGGGTTACTGAAGCAAACCCAGCGCTGCAGGATGGAAAAGATCTCGGCAAACAAAGCGGCTGAAAAGTTATTGGCGAAAAGTGGGGGGAAAAAAAAATTAAAGTCCGAAGGAAAATAGGTAAAAATGAGGAAAACTGGGAAAACGAGGCTGAATTAGAGTGGCTTTGGCTCAGGGTGGTTATTTTGGACACAGAGGTTTGGCTGCTCCCTCAATACCGAGCTGATCTGTTCCTGGTTGCGCTTGACTCGCTCCATCTCCGGAGTGACCGGGCTGGGGGTGGCCTTCCCTAAGCCTTCCCTGTAGGCAACCTGGGGAGCACAGAGGAATTACCACCAGGGAAAACCCAAAACGGGGCTGTTACTGGGTTTAGAGTCAACACCAGCTGTTAGGAAAGGGGAGGAAAAAAAAAAGTCAGGAAAAAGAGGATTAACAAGTTCCACAACAACAACAACAAAAAAGTCTTTGTAAGAGGTGATTTGCTAAAGGGGAAAAATTAGAGGGTTAAGTAAAACCAGGGTATTAAGAAGTTGTCTATCACATCCTCTCCTGTTAAGCACTGCAGGGGGATCTTTGGGCAGTGTTGTACCGAGCTAATCTGTTCTTGATTGCGTTTGACTCTCTCCATCTCGGGGGTGACGGGGGTGGGGGTCGCCTGCCCCACGTTCTCTTTGTACAACACCTGTGGGATGCACAACATGTATCCAGGGCCTTAACAAGCCCCAAAGGGAAAGGGTTTGAGCACAAAAAAATGGTCACTTTGTTATCAAATGGCCAAAAAGTCGAACATTTAGTGCTGCCAGAGGGGTGAGAGAGGCAGAGGGGAGGGACAAGCTGGGCTTTGGGGGGAGCATTGCCGGGCTCTGTCCAGGGGCAGGGATGCTGAAGGGCCAGAGGCTCAGGGAAGACACTTCTGGCTCTGCAGAAAAACATTTTAACAGTTCCCTGCTTTTTTAATGTATGTTTTAAGTCATTCCTGGTCTTTTTTTAGAAGGGAGGAGGGAGTTTTGTTGCCACACTGTCCCAAATTCGGATGTCAGGGATGGGTGTTTTTCCACTGAAAACTGAAATGCTAAATGTAAACCTGAATATTCCTGAGCAACCTGCCCTGATGGAAATGAGGGGTGGAACAAGATGGGATGTAATGTCCCTTCCCAACCCCAACATTCCTTAATCTCCACCAGGAGATCTCTGAGCTCGTCTGGACAGAACCCACGAACACACGAACGAAAAGCCCTCCAAACTGTGGGATCACACCGTTCATTTGGGGTTTAGAAGGAGCAATTAATTTGCAGAAAGAAACACATCTATTTTTAACTTGAATAAGTCAGGAGTTAGGCTGGGATTTGTTAGGCAGACAAAGCCCTCCCCACTCAGGTACCGAGCTGATGATCTCCTGGTTGCGTTTCACTCGCTCCATCTCGGGGGTCACGGGGGTCGGCGTCACTTTGCCCATGTTTTCTTTGTACAGGACCTGCAGGGTACAAAGGAGCATTAAAAACCCGAGGAAAACCCGAAGGGGGACAGAGCAGAAGGCTCAGCTCAGCTTTGAGTTGCACTGAGAAAGGGTTAGAGCTGGGGCACAGGGGCAGCTGGAGCTTGGCCATTAATTCCCTGCTGGAAACACACTGGGAGTGAGAAAGGGTTAAAAAAAAAAATAAAAATAAAAAATCAACCAGAAAACCAAAACCCACTCAAAAAGAGATTTTTTTTTTTTTTTTTCCCCCTCAGTAAAATCCTGCTCCAAACAGGTGTTAAAGTGTCGGGGCCTCGGGGCGGGCTCGTGCCCGCCGGTTAATAAGCACAGATTAATTCCGGTGTTACAGCGCTAAGTTAAACGCTCCATTCCAAGGCTTAGGAAGGGTTTTCCTGGCGGGAAGTACCGAGCTAATGATCTCTTGATTGCGTTTGACTCTCTCCATCTCGGGGGTGACGGGGGTGGGGGTGGCTTTCCCTATGTTTTCCTTGTACAACACCTGCGGGAGGAGAGAAAGAGCCACAGAAAAGCAACAGTCAATCAACAACCAGCTCTCCCTGCACGTTTTTGGGGGTTTTTTTTCCAGCTTGGATTTAGTTTCTCACGGCCCAGGGATTTTTAAAGCAGGTCCTTTAGTAGAGTTTTGCAGCCTGGCTTTTAACTCCTCACAAGAAATGGTGTAAGTAAATCATCAGTGAGCACTAAATACCACAGGGAGGGGCTGAGAATGTTATTAAAAAAATTAAATTAATTGCTTTAAAATAAATGTCAGCACTGCAGAGAAAATGAGGGGAGGTTTTTTAAGTGTTTTAAGGATTAGAAGTGGGTATTAAAAAATCACTCTTGAAATCAAGATAAAGAGGAGCAGAAATCAAGGTTTAAATCGGAGTAAGCCATGAGTAAGAAGTGGCCCCTGCTGGGAGCTGGGTCAGTGTTATTTTGGAACAAACCCACTTTATCCAAAGTGTTAAAAAAGTGGTTTTAGAGGGAGTTAAAGGGCAGTTTTCCCCTGGGAAGTACCGAGCTACAGATCTCCTGGTTGCGTTTGACCCTCTCCATCTCGGGGGTGACGGGGGTGGGGGTCCCCGTCCCCACGTTCTCTTTGTACAACACCTGCACGACAAGAAAGCACCCAAAAAAACATCAGCACCACCCCAAAAATCATGAAATCCATCATCTCCCGGGGAAGGGGAGCTTTTAGACCCCCCCCTCCCCCTGCAGGGAGCTGGAAAGGCAACCCCTCCCTTTGCTGGGAGAAAAGCAGGACACGGGAATTGGATATCTAAGAAAACAACACGAAAAAAGGGAAGAGGGACGTGGAACAGGGTTAAAAAAGATTCAGGATAATGTAAATAATTTACAGCTAACTCCATCAGTGAAGAAGTGGCGGGTCAGTAACGCTGGAAGAGGGGGAGAGAGGATGTTAAAAGCTGATGACACGGAATAAGAGTTGATTACACGGAACAAGGAGAGGAATTGGCCATTTTTAAAGGAGGTTGGAGCGGGGTTTGGGGGCAGGGAGGGGGCTGTTCCTGCCCACGATACCGAGCTGATGAGCTCCTGGGTGCGCTTCACTCGCTCCACCTCGGGAGGCACCGGGATGGGGGTTCCTGTTCCCACCTCCTCCCGGTACAAAACCTGCGGGATAAAGGGCTGGTCAGGGAGGGAACAGCACCAGGGACACGGAGGGCTTGGGAAAACGCCTCCTACACACAGCTTGGGATAAAAACCAGGGATTAAAAACTCCTTGGGATAAAAACCAGGGATTAAAAACTCCTCAAAACCACCCATGGAGCGGCATCGCTGCTCCTGAGTCGGACACAAAACGTGCAACAAAACAGTGGGAAGGTATCAAATACAACAGGAAAACAACAAATAAACCCATTTAATTCATTTCCCACCCCAGCAGGTCCTGCTGATCCCACCCCAGCACTGCCACACCCAGCCAAGGCCCACGGGAGTTTAGTTCTTGTGTACAAAGGAAGGAAAATGAGGGAAAAACCCAGCAGAAGGATTGTTGGGACCAAGAGAAGGAAAACAGAGTGAGGTTTTAAGAGTTAAAAAAAAAAAAGCAAAAAGGTGATCACACTCAAAAAGGTGAAATTCAATTATTAAAATGATATCATTAAAAAAAAAAATAAAAAAGGGAACAAGAATGACGTAAGTAATAATTACAATGGGGAAAAAATAAAATCTCAAAGGACCAGGATATTATTTCTGGGGTAAGTTGATTACAGGGAAAAACAAGAACATTGGTTGGTGTGTTAAAAAGTATTTTAAAAGAGATTAAGAGGGACTTTTTTGTTGTGCTTTTGCCATTCCCAGGTACCGAGCTGATGTGCTCCTGGTTGCGTTTGACCCTCTGGATCTCGGGGGTCACCGGGGTGGGGGTGCCCGTGCCCAGCTCCTCCTTGTACAACACCTGGGGGGCAACAGGGTTAGAGTGACAGCAAGAGAATAAAACCAGCAGCAGCAGCAGCAGCAACACTCCCAGCAGGACAGGGGGGCTCTGATGTGCCCTGGAGAAACAGGGGGTAAAAAAAGCTCTGGAAATAAAAAACGAGTTCCAAACTCTGATCAAAGACTGAAGATGAAGGGGGGATGATTTAGGTGGATGTTGGGAAGGAATTGCTGGCTGGGAGGGTGGGCAGGCCCTGGCACAGGTTGGGCAGGGAAGCTGTGGCTGCCCCTGGATCCCTGGAAGTGTCCAATCTGGAATAGTGGAAGGTGTCAGGGTTGGAATTGGATGGGCTTTAATTTCCCTTCCAACCCAAACCAGCCTGGGATTCAACGATCCCATGAATTCTATCAGACAGTTTAACCTGGGGAGTACTTAGGAGACTCAAGTCTGATATAAATGCCAATAAATACATCATTGTCAATAGTTACTGACAATAAACTGACAACAAATACATTATTGCCCTTTCAGCAGCAGTGACCTGACCACAAGTGAGTCCTTGCAGGAGCAGGGCCTGATGCACCTTCCTGAAACCTCTCCTTACACACTCCTCAACTAAGATTTCATATATATATATTATATATATTATTCCTACTCCTCTCCTGTTGTCAATGGCACTTCCTCACCTTTACAAACACTGATTATTTTTTTTTCCCCTCTAACTTTGCTACCAACACCCCCAGGGCAGTCCCCACCACCTGGGCCACTGCCCATCTGCAACAACACAAAACATCTCCCAAAGGAAAAGGCATCCCACCCAACACAGAAGGAATAAAAGCAGCAATTCCACTTGATCTGCCCATCCCACTCCAGCAGAGCACAGGGCAGGGAGCAGAGTCTGGTCACAGCCACGGATTTGGGGAAAGGAAATCAATAGTTTAGTGTTTATATGTGGTAAAACCAGGGGAAAAAAATCACCCAATAACCAAGGATTGAAGTGATTAATAAAAGGAAAAGCAGGAAATAAAAACCATGGCAAGAGAAAGACGGGAAGAGGGAATCTAAAATCGTTAGTGAGGTGGATCCAATGAAAAATTATAGAGGAAAAAAATCTCAAAACACAAGGATGTTGGTTGTTGTTGTGTGAACTGATTACAGGGAAATGCAGCAGGAGAATTTGGGTGTTAAAGAGTGTTTTGAGAGAGATTAAAAGCGGTTTGGGTTTTATTTTGGCTTTTCAAGTGGAAAAGTACCGAGCTGAAGTTTTCCTGGTTGCGTTTGACCCTCTGGATCTCGGGGGTCAGCGGGGTGGGGGTTCCCCTGCCCAGCTCCTCCTTGTACAACACCTGGGGGGCAACAGGGAGGTCACAACAGGCCAGGACAAATAAACTGCGTCCGATGGAGGGGATTTGGGGAGTTTATGCCCACTAAATGTAGCAGAAAGCAGGAAAAATTAGGAGGGATCGACCAGTTAATAACTGTGATCAATCAAATCCAGAGGAAGGGACAGCTGGGAATGTGCATCCAACTGCTTGGAGGGGCTTCAGCAGGATAATAAAAGGATTAAAGGGAGGGGATTAAGCAAATTGTATTAAAAAAGTGGTTTAAAAAATGCAAAATACCTTAAAGTGCAGGAAAAAAAAATTAATGGACACCAAGCATTGAATGTTATGATTATAGGGAAAATATTTCAAATAGTTCAAAAAAAACAAGTGAATAAAATGTAACAGAGTAATTAAAAAGGTAACAGCGGAAAGGGGAGGGGTTTGTAAGTTAATTAGGATTTTAAAAAAGTCAAAAGATACCGAGCTAAAGTTCTCCTGGTTGCGTTTGACCCTCTCCATCTCGGGGGTGACAGGAACGGGGGTGCCAACCCCCAGCCCCTCCTTGTACAACACCTGGGGCAGCAGGGAAAAGAAAACCAAAGGAGAAAGGGGATAAAAAAAAGGAGAAAGGGAAAAAAAAAAAAAAAAAAGAGAAGGGGAAAAAAAAGAGAAGGGGAAAAAAAAAGAGAAGGGGAAAAAAAAGAGAAGGGGAAAAAAGAGAAGGGAAAAAAAGAGAAGGGAAAAAAAGAGAAGGGGAAAAAAAGAAAGGGGAAAAAAGAGAAGAAAAAAAAAGGAGAAGGAAAAAAGAGAGGAAAAAAGAAAAAAGGAGAAAAGAGAAAAAGAAAAAAGGGAAAAAAGAAAAAAGAAAAAAAAAGGAGAAAGAGGGAAAAAAAAAGGAGAAAGGAAAAAGAGAAGTTAAAAAAAGGAAAAGAGTGAAGAGAGAGAGAAGAGCAATAATTTAATACAGGGAAACGTCAAAGTGTGAAAAATGGTGTTTTTCCAGCCTTGTTCAAAGCCCAGCGAAACACCCTCAGTGAAAACAGGGGGCTGAGGTTCCACTGAGCTTTTTCTTTCCCCTGGGCACAGAAATGTGGGAATTCTCAACTGCCTGGCAACCCTCCTGCAAAGGATTCCCCATCTCAAACAGCAAAATGAGCATAAAGTGCTCCAATTAAACAGGAATACTGAGCAAAACGATGTCTGGGAAGGGTCAGGAGGACAAGTGATCCACATAAATATTCCTCCCTACAGCAATTTTTCCATCTACGTGCAATTATCACCATGTTTTCCTAAGCAGTGAGCTGGGAATGCCACCTGGATTCCTTACAAAGACTGGAGGGTGTAAGAGAGCAGCCACCACAGCAGAAATTCCAACCCAAACCATTCCACGATTCCCTGACCCAGGAAGGGTTAAGGGTTCGTTTTCCACTGCAGAGGTGAGGCTGGAGATACTGGAAGGGTGGGCTCTGTTACTGAGCACAGTGACACCACTCCCACTATTAACAATCCCTTGGGAATTCAAACAAGGCACCGCTCAACTGCTTCAATTTACTGGGGTTAAAATCTCCCTGCTGGGAGAACTCAGTGACAGGTTCAATGAGGGGAAAAGGAAAATATCGGATCCTGACAGGGTTGCAGTGGCTTCACAAGGGAAGGGCTGCTCAGAGTTCCCCCAGGAATGGGAAGGATGGTGTCAGGGAGGAGCTGAAGGGGTGTCAGTGGCACTGGAAGGGGAGGGTGTGGCTCAGTACCGAGCTGATGTTCTCCTGGTTACGCCGCACTCGCTCCATCTCCGGCGTCACCGGGGTGGCCGTGCCCGTCCCCAACCCCTCCTTGTACAACACCTGTGAGGGACAGACAGTGCCCACAGCAACCCCCTGAGCAGGGGCACAGCCACCTCCTCTGCCCCTGCCCTTGTACAACACCTGCCAGGGACAGACGGTGCCCACAGCAACCCCCTCAGCAGGGGCACAGCCACCTCCTCTGCCCCTGCCCTGGCTCATGCTCAGCGTTAGGTCACTGCTGATTCACTTCACACCGGATCCACAGGCCAAGATTAATGAAGAGGCTGATGGGGGATCATTCTGTAAATAGGGGATGGGAGGGGAGAGAAGATAAAGGCTCGAGATGAACACGGGGAGGTAAATTCACTTTGGGCTCTCAGAGGAAACGCAGAGGAAGGTGTGAATCCCCCCAAAAAGCACAAACAGGGGGAGTATCAGAGTTAAGACACTGCCAGGGCAAAGCCAGGACTGCAGCCCTGAGGGAGGAGGAGTGTTAGGGGTTTCCAGGGCGGGATTGCAACAGCAGGGTTGGGATTTGTTGTTGCAATCCCGGGCAGTACCGAGCTAATGTGCTCCTGCGTGCGTTTGACTCGCTCTATCTCGGGGGTCACGGGCGTGGGGGTGCCCGTGCCCAGCTCCTCCTTGTACAACACCTGTGGGACACAACGTAGAAATACGTGACAAAGGGAC